ATCCCATTAGGCCACATTGTCGACAACGACGTCATTGATAGACACTTGATGTAGTGCAACAAATTTCCTAAAGGAATTTTGTCAGACTGTGAGCATCCGCCGCACCACCCGCAGCTCCAACCTCGTGTCTCCTCAGGTAGAACAAGAAGTCTTTTCAGAGGAATTTATGCACGTATGTCTAAGTATAAAAATTCTACTATATCATATTTGGTGGCGCGTACTGTATGTGATGAAAATAGTGTTAGGCATGAACTAACTAACCTTCTTTGCACTATTAAATAAACCATTTCCTCCACCCTTACAACATCAAGCTTTATTCTTTATTGTTATTGTACTTCTTATATTTATAATCCTCTCAACTTTTGTTTGTTTTTATTTGTTTATTTTTTCATAAGTGTGAAGATCATTTAAGCTGTGTTGTAACTGTTAATTTTGTACTTTCCCTCACCAAACTATCGCAACAGAACTTTGGATTCAATAGTCTATAACATGCTAAAATTTCCCAACTGAATCGACAATACTGTTTAAAACAAACTAACTGTTATTATCATTTATTATTCTCAATTCGTACTCCGAATATTTTTGACTTCATATCGTAAATATGGACAAATTCCTCTGGTTACTTTTGTTTTAGTTTTTAATTTTATTTATATTTTGAGTGAACCAGATGCAAGATATTGTGACAAACGTTGAGAATTCCATTCTGTATTATAAGTACTGTCTGTTTTGGAACAAAGTAGATTATTATTATTAAGTCCTATGTTCCACTGGCTAAGTAAAGAATTAGAAAAACAACCCAACTCATCACATTTTTAAAATGTGTTTACAACAATAATTCATTTTTATTCTTATCCCACAAACCTGATGTATACATGCATACAAAACAAATAAGAGACTCTTCGCTGAACTATGTGTTTTGTTTCCATTACTGTCTGGATGCGGCTCATTCATGAATATTAGACATAAACGGTAGACCGATCACATTCAATTCATTCAAACCCCTTTGTTGTTTTATTTCGCCTTATCACATGACTTTCACAAATAATACTACTTGAATGCCCATATTTCGTGCAGTAAACAACGAAGCACATTTTGTTTACGTAACCAAGGTATCGGCAACAAATAGTCCGAGGAATTCTGACATGCTAGTGGTTGCCACCAGTAAGATATTTGAGACAGACACAGAAGTTTACTTGTCAAGATAATCTTGAAAGGTTTATTCTGAAACTCAGTAGTCACAGAGATACACTTCAACCAACCAACCAACAAGCCAACTGTTATCACCGAACTATGAATATTACACCGTAGCGTTATGCAGACAGATAGGAAGCGGCCAAAACTGAAATCAGTTGTAGAGTCAGAAGCGGTTTATTTCTGAAATCTGGAAATCGCACATGTTGTGGATAACTTGTTTAACCTTGGGTCAACTGCAAACCAATCAGAATAATTCATTCTCCTCTGACCAAACAGATTAAATATGATGTGTTTTCCTTGATAAACGTCCGTTACCGTATCTGTTTTCTTGTCCCGTTACAGTATCAATAAATAAAGATCTTTTAATTATTAGTTTTGTAGAGAATTTTTGTGTGATTGGTTGAGTTTTGCGATTACTAGTGTTCTCTGAGCTGGTTGGTTTAGTTGCGGAGCTTTCGTCGTCCTTCTGGACAACATCTTCAGCGCAATATTTAACATAAAGTGAAGTGATTTAAATTTTTTCATGAGTGATAGAATTGCATCTCCTGGTAACCATCTTTACATATGTATTCATCATTTTCTATTGGCTTGGATTTTAAACTCTCTAGTCACATGATTTACTTTTTATAAGTTGGTATACTTGGTCTATATTACCGTGTTTGTTAATTGCATACTCGTTTGAGTATCAGGCTTCCAGGAATTGCCTGACTGCACTTTTGGTGTTTCCTCTGTCTAAGATTTCGACATTATCACAATCAAACTGATGTCCATAATTGTCTACATGCATTGATATGAAAGAATATATATCATGTCTTTTCACGGTTGATTTGCGTTCCTGGATTCTGATTCGAAGGGGACGACCACTTTGACCGATGTAATAATGTCTGTTACAGCTCACACAGCTATTTATTTTGTAAATGGTATTAATTTTATCTCCTTTTTCTGTTGGATCTTTCGGTTTGCATAATATCGAATTAAGCGATTGGACTGGCTGGCTTGTATGCTATATCTATATGAAACGGTTTCAGTATTCTAGCTGTTATTTCAGAGATATTTATTTGTCTATGGTAGGATGAATTTTCTTGTGGTCTTTGATTATGGTTTCACGACACCAACCAGCTCAGAGAACACTATTAATTGCAAATGATCTACCTTAGCTACAAATTTCTCTATTATTTAAAAACTTAAGAGTACAGAACATCTGTTTTGTCCTAGTTTGGGACTCCTCATCAGTGCACATCCACCAGGGTTTTTCAATGGTTCTCTAACTGATGCCAGCTGATGATGAAATCCTCCAACCAATCAAAACAAAATCTCTACGAAACCAATACTTGAAAATTCGTCTTATGCTCACTAGAGACTGGCTCTATTCAGGAAGTTTACCTGTGGGTTCTAGTGTGAAGCAGTGAGCAGTAGGGTACAGCAAGTCAAAAGTTAGCACAGTTCCTAATCGAAGAAGACATTGGCTAGCGGTTGATCTCTGTCGTGAATTGTCAGGACTTGGGATTCATGCGTTGGCCATTGGATCGAGTCCCAGTGGCTGAATGATCTACGAGCTCGCCTTGTCACCGGAAGGTCCTGGGTTCTGAAGATTTCCAAGCATTAAGACAGTTCTCCTAGATGGTTTTCCAACGGTCCTCTAACTTATTTCAGCTCATCGTGAAATCCTCCAACCAATTAAAGATCTTTCAAACAAGGCTATTTAAACTTACCACAAAATATAATATATCTTAATTCACATAGGAATGTGAATATCGGAGTTACAGACTGTCTACTGTTTTCCGTCAATATGACCCAAAGCATAACAGGACAACATCTCAAAATCTACTCAAGCTGGTGATGGGTTTTTACATAAAATTCATATATATATAATATAGGAATGCATGACCTATTTCAAAAATATAAGTGAACCAACCTTATGAAAGGTGTTCAGAATAATGTGATTATGTAGGTGTTTATATGCATATATATGTAAATATTTTCATTGCAATCAAGTCAGACATGCATACGCCTATAGTTTAAAAATTACTCTATCCTGTGTGAGATGAACACACACACAACTTGGATTTTGGAAAGTCTGTTTACCTAAATATCAGTGTCTGTAACAAAATGAAAGAAAAAAATTAGAATATTAGGTCAAAGTGTTTCAAACGTGTATTGTGTAGGTAGGTATCAAGTACACATTCCAAATAGATTATGATATTGTGTAATTATAACCTTATAATGAATGAATGAATGAATGAAATATCTAAGCGCACAAATCGATCAGTGTACTTAAATTAATTTTTTTACTATCCAACTTTCGTTAACACTAATCAAAAGCTTACTAACTAATTTCATGGCATCATTATGCAAAATAAGTTTAACTAAATTTCTTTAGTGTAAGTTTCTGCAGATTTGATTTAATGCCACTGGGATGAAATTCTGCGGTTACCTCATCAATTCCAACGTTTATCTACGATTTCGTGAATGAATCGATTCTAGTGACTGAATGGTAAAATGTATTCACCTCATAACTTGAAGGTCCTGATTACGATTCCTGGCAGTGAGTGGGATCATACTACTGAAGAGTCCCAAACCAAGATTTAAACAGGTGTGATGATATTAGATAGTTGGAGGAAATTGACAGGAAGAAACAGCCTCCTTTACCTACCTACCTACAGGCACCAGGAACTGACGAGGATATCAAAGCAAGGATCGGGAAAGCAGCACAAGCTTTCATTACTCTGAAGTCTGTGTGGAGGTCAACAGCACTCAGCACCAAAAATAAGATCCGGATTTTCAACTCTAATGTGAAGTCAGTGCTACTTTATGTATCTAGATATGATAGAGAAGATTTGTAGCTCAGGTGGATGAGTTTATGTATCAGATACTTAGCGCGTCATGACGAGCACTTCAAACAAACTACAGACATTCATCAACAGCTGTCTTCGCTCAGTATTCAAGACCAGATAGCCGGCCATAAAAGATCAGCAACAGGGATCTCTGTCAATGAGCGAAGCAACCAGGAACCCATTGTTCAACAGATAAGCAGGAAGAAATGGAGATGGATTGGAGGCCATACTCTGAGGAAACCATCAAGTGACATCACTAGACAGGCCAATGGTCGAATAGAACCCGAACGGGAAGCGGCAAGGTGGTCGTCAATGCAAGGGTGACTTGGAGGAGGTCATGTGGGGAAGAGATGAAAGTGTGTCGGCAGACTAAGAGCCAGGTGAAAACTCTAGCAGAGAAGCGAACGCAATGGAGATGTGCGGCTGAAACCCTATGTTCCTCTAGGAATTAAAGGAAATAATAATAGTAATAATAAGACCATAATAGATACTTTGATTGGCCACCATACTAAATGGCTCGCTATCACAAATTCGATTGGTAGAATTCAATCTACACCGAGGACTAGACACCTTACATTATTTACCATCTAGTGTCCCATTAAAAAGGATATAGGCCATTTCGAAAGTGGAAAAAGCAGCAATTATTTTCAATTTTTATTTTGTTTATCTATTTATTATTCGACTAGTAATAATAGAGTAACAGTGTGACTTGTTTACATACTTTCATAGTGAACACATGAAGTAATTTATTTATTGTTGTCTAAAATGCTTTGTTTGTGTACTCTTTTTGAAATGCTCCATATTTCAATTCTTTTTTTTGTTTTACTATTTGCTTTGAATTATTGATATTGTATTATTATTATTATTATTATATTCTACACACTGTATTGTCTTCTCCATTGAAGAATTACAACAGAGTTCAGAAAGTAAGAAAAAAAAGACAAAGACAGACAGAGGTGTCTAGAAATTCACCTAAACAAGATCTGGTTTCGCATACATTGGTAGCAGATTATAATTGTGTGAAATAAATTTAATCAGACGTTGTTCAACATCCTTTTTATATCCATTAATATATAAGGATTTCAATTCTTCAAAATCCTTCAATGGTACCTGATGGAAAACAAAAAAACAAACAAAAATTGTGATTAAATAATCCTTGGAATACAAAAGTAAAAAATCAACCAATTAATAAGTTTAATTTCAGTTTAATATGAATAACAATAATCTACTTTATTCCAAAAACAGTCTGTCTGTCTGTTTTCGACATAGAACTTTGCACATATGTGCACCAGTTCAAGTCGCCACACTCCCTCCTTGTAGCACACAAATCAAGAGAAAAAAGTATAAGAAAAGCATAATAGAGACAGTAAACAGAGGTGTGAGACAAAAGAATATTAGTAACGAAGAACAAAACAGTTTCATTGGAAATTATAAGTCACAAGGAGTGGATGCATCTGTGCCAGCCATCACTGAGAACGATCACTTTGAGCCATATCACCAATTGTTTGCAACCATTGGTTTTTACCGTCCCGAGGACCTCAACCAGCCAGGAAGTCTACACCTTCCTACGTGGCTTAGACTAACTGTTGTAGATTTCATTGACTGGTGCCATGTTTTTGTTTGACCACCGCTAGCTCTTTTCCAGCCTGACCCTGTATCCGCTAACATTACTCGTCGAGGAAGGAGATGACTAGGCGTGCATACGTAACACATGTCCTAACCATCTCAGTCAATGTAATTTCACAGCCTCGTCGATTGATTTCCCCTCCCTCCTTACATAGCACTCGACCGATGGCTAACCTCAATATAGCTCAGCTTATTATACCACTTTACACGGGCGATAGAACGCAGGCACCTATGGTCAAAGACAGCTAATCAGGCTTTTCATGTCTTCCACTCTCAATGGCCAGGTCTCGCTCACAGCCATAGAGGAGGACGGAGCGGACTGATGAGCAGTACACCCGCCCTTTGGTCGATAGCCGGATATCACGTCTACGCTAGAGACGGTGTAAACTGTCATATGCGAAACTAGCCCTCTGTATCCCTTCTGAGATTTCGTCAGAGATCAACCTGTTGGCGTTGGCTGATTGTACTTCCCAAATAAGTGAAGCGGTCAACGTGCTCTACCACTTCACTCCCTATTTCTAATCTAGGAGTCGGTGTAGTCCAGTCCTGTAACATCATCTTGCATTTGGCGGGAGCGAATTGCATGCCAAACATTCGTAGATTGCAGCTGAAGGTGTTTAGAATACTCTGCATTTTTTCAGCGTCCAAAAACAGTACTTTTAATACACAATGGAATTCTCAGAATTTGTCAGAATTTCATTATTTTCTGGGTACGTTACGTTGATGATACATTTGTAATAATTAAGAGAAATGATTTAGAATATACCCATAAATTAATAAACAACATATTTGAAGGCATCAAATTCACCACGAGAGAAGAAGAGTTAGATAACAAAATCCCATTTTTAGATGTTTTAATCAGGAGAACCAACACAGGAAATTTAGAAACACAAGTATATAGAAAGTCAACGCACACAGATCAAATACTCAACATCTCTGAAATAACGGCTAGAATAATGAAACCGTTCGATATAGATGTAGCACACAAACCAGCTGAATCGCCTAATTCGATCTTACGCAAACCAAAAGATCCGATAGAAAAGGGAAATAAAATTAACACCATTTACAAAATAAATAGCTGTGTGAGCTGTAACAGACATTATTACATCGGTCAAAGTGATCGTCCCCTTCAAATCAGAATCCAGGAACGCAAATCAACCGTGAAAAGACATGATATATATTCTTTCACATCAATGCATGTAGACAATTATGGACATCAGTTTGATTGTGATAATGTCGAAATCTTAGACAGAGGAAACACCAAAAGTGCAGTCAGGGAATTCCTGGAAGCCTGATACTCAAACGAGTATGCAATTAACAAACACGTTAATATAGACCAAGTATACCAACTAATAAAAAGTAAATCAGGTGATCAGAAAGTTTAAAATCCCAATCAATAGAAAACGGTCAATACATATCTAAAGATGGTTACCCGGAGACTCATGAAGAAATTTAAATCATTTCACTTTATCCTAAATACTGCGCTGAAGATGTCGTCCAGAAAGACGATGAAAGCTCCACAACTAAACTAAGGAGCTCAGAGAACACTATCAACTGCAAATCATCCACCTGAGTTACAAATCTTTCTATTACACCTGTTTAATCTTTGAATCACATAGAAGAAATGACTACTATCTTGACATTGTTGTAAATCTGAATGTTGTTATTAATAGTGAGTGCAGTAGATTCCCTGGCTAAATTCTGAATAATGAAGGTGTATCTCACCTTTCTGAACTTTGCTTTGATATTACCAATGGTGCCGCCTATAGCTGAGACGATTCTTTCCATATAAGTTGAAGATTTCTCCTGGTTATAATGCATGATGATTCCTGTTGGCTGGTGAGTGTCTTCACCATCACTGCCTTCCCTATGTTTACGTGAAGTTTTGTGTTTGCTGCAAGCCTCTGCAGCCAAATTTTTAGTTTTTGTCTGTAAACAATTGGTGGATGGTGGCTAGCAGTGCACAAGAAGCCGACATGTCAACCTGAGACCGAGCACTTCGGTCCAATCAATCGACGGGAAAATCAAAAAATTCAATTCAATAATTTGTCTGTAAATCTTCAAACTTGTGTGAAATTTGGCATAAATCATCCACGAAGTCCAGGTCTTCTGAAATCTTCTTGTCTTGCCAATGTTTTCTTACCCTCTCTATTCCATGCACGGTGTTCCTTATGATCCAGTCCCTCACAATGAAGAATATCATCATCGGTGATAGCTGGCCGATATTTTATATTATTAACCAGTAATCATTCACAGACATGAGAGCCATCATAATTACTCAAAGCAAACATAACCATCCATCTACTAATATTAAAGTAAACAAAGTATATTTAAACTCGTATTCAATAGACTGGTAACCAGATCCTCGAATAACTGAACTAAATGATCAGTACCACAAATATTGTGAATAATTTCAATTAATAAACAGGAAAACCAATGCGAAATAAAAAGAAACATGAACCTTATAACCCTTGATTAATGTTTTTAAAACTTGGACAGAATGCTAGCATGTACTTCCAAAGTGTTAGATGTACTACCCAGTGAGGCAGTTTTATTCACTAAATGACAAATTCGTATCAAATGTAGCTCTCAAACTATGAAATTAGCCGGATAAAAACCGTCTCAGTGTACAGCATACCCCATAAAAAAACTTTTATGAAATTTTGAAATATACGGAACACATACCTCATCTTTTTCTGCAATGATCGCCTCTATTTTCGATGCCAGTGATTCATTCATTGTAGGCTATATCAGTGTAAAAATGAAATATAAAATAAATTTTAATTCAAGTGTTAGTTTGATGAAATTTTATAGATTTCAATTGTGATAATGAAGCGACTTGAGCTAGAGAACCAATAAAACCCCACTGGGCTACTGGTCAATTGTTTCATTCATGTTAGCGAATTTTCAGAAGTACTCAACTATGATCCCAAAAAAGGGATCGATCTGAAGACCTTCAGCATTATGAAGCAAACTCTTAGACCATTTGGTCACTAAAACAGAATCTAGTGGCTCATTAATTTTAACTTGTGCCATTTCACGATATAGTCTGACCACCAGTCAATGTTTGTCCTAACGTCCAGCTTGGTGAGCCTTGATGCTCACAACTTCTCACCAGAACCTCAATATGTAAATAAGTATTTGTGTAGTACTGGATACGAAAGCATTAGTAAATTTCTGTGCATCATTGTGGGGTCTCTTTTGAAAACAAGACATACCAATCCAAAAAAATTTTGAGATTACCATTTTGACTCATCAATTTATTCCTCTACAATTAACATCAGTATGGAAACTCTTCTGAAAGTAACAGGAAATATTAAAAAAGATGATTGAAGAGAACGAAATTTTCTCGTCAACGAAGTCATCAAGTAGACTGTACATTCACGTACATATTTGGGAAATAGGGGGAGGGAGGGAAAGTTCCATAATTATTTTCTGTCGAAATATTAAAATGTAATAATTACAGAATAAACAGACAGTTGAGAAAAGAAACCTAATAGGATAATCACTATTTAACAGAATTGACTGTTTATGATGGCTATAACAGAGACAAATGCTGGATGTGTATTTATTTCTTTTGGATACATTACATGGGCTTGGATTTGTGGATTTTTTTTTTCTAGAAAGATGGCTGCAGCGAAGAAAATTTTCGTTTAGACGAAGTCATCAGCTAGGCTGCACAGTTGTGTATTTATGATAAATAGGTGGAAAAGTTCCAGAATAATTTCCGGTTAAGGGTCAAATTAATAAAAATTACGCTTAGGAATTAAAATGCCATAATAAACATAGTAGCATCATAATTACTGAGAAGATTGGCATTGATTGTGAAATTAGGGTTTAGAAATGTAGAAATAACAAACATAGACAGGATGTTTGGATAAAAAAATCTAGTGGGATCATAACTAATGTGATGAATAATTGTTTATGCAATCGGGAATTAAATATGTAGAAATAATAGAATGACAAAATAGATAGGAAGTTCAGATATGAAAATATGGTAGTGTAAATAGGGATTAGGAAAAACCTAAAAATAACATTAATAAACGTGAAGTTTGGATAAGAAAGGCAATCGTATGGTAACTACTAGAAAACTACCTGTATATTATGGCGTGTTAATTCCTAATTGTAATTTTTATTTTTATTTATTTTTGATTTTTGATTTACAGCTTGATTCCACACTGCATTTTCGGTACAAGTATGGAATTTTTAGCATGGATATCGGTAGCCCAAATTTCGCAGGCCGACCATAGATATCAGGTGTGCGTCGGTGCGGGCTCGAACCCCGGACCATGTGCATGGTCGGCGAGAGTCTTAACCACTGTGCCACCGACGCACACAAAAATCCGTGCTCCGAGAAGTTATTCTGGAACTTTTCCACCCATTTGTTATACGTAGATGAATGTACAGCCTAGTTGGCAAATTCGTCGAAAAGAAAATTTATCTCGCTGCAACCGTCTTTTTAATAATTCCTATGATCCAAGGTGTATATTCCATGATTTTTGGATCTCTAGTGCTTCCACTATGCCCAAATGCTTTGCTCCTACTCCTTTAGAGACTTAATCGGATCTTGTTTATGACTTTGAAGGACTTGTAACGCCCCTATATTAACTCTAAATTTACTTTATATAAAACTAATTCATGTACGCGTATTATAAGCTTACAGAAACTAATCTTATCAGGAGCAGACGTCACAGATGTACTAAAGTAATATAAGCTGAATGATATTTGGCGTACTGTAGGCTTTCAAGTGAAACCGAAGGTCCTCAGTTTACCAGATGTTCTGTTACCTAGCTTTCATATACACCTTCCTTCTCCCTTTCTTAGCAAGGCTAGATAGTATTCGCGATCGTGTGAGATGGAGTCAGCTGCTGCATCTGGAAACAGTCGGAAGCTGTTCCAACTCATACGAGCCACCGGCAGCAAGAAACAAGGTGTCAGCGAGACGGTCTGTGAGGCAGATGGCACTCCAATTACCAGCCTGAAAAGACGCCTGGAACGCTGGGCAGAGCACTTCGGGAAGCAATTCAGCTGGCCACCAGCTTCAGTGTCTACTATCATTAGCCCGAGTGCTCCTTGGTCGGTTAGTACAGACCCACCCACCGAAGCGGAGGTCCGTAAGGAACTCCAAGTTCTGAAATGCCATAAGGCGCCCGGCCCAGACAAATTACCCCCGGCTCTTTTTAAAGATGGTGGCGAGACTCTCACAATGGCTCTAACTGGGTTGTTCAGGAAGGTGTGGGAGACAGAGAGTGTGCCATCAATGTGGAACGAAGCCATTATCGTCCCCATCTTTAAAAAGGGTCGACGTAATTCGTGTGACAATCATAGGGGTATCAGTCTGTTACCAGTCGCGTCTAAAATATTGGCTGCTGTCTTGCTTCGCAGACTGTGCAAAATACGTGAAGGATTGATTCGCGAAGAGCAGGCTGGGTTTCGTTCAGGTCGTGGATGCATTGATCAGGTGTTCACCCTTCGTCAGTTGTTGGAACACCGCCACACGTATTGCAGGCCAACGATCGTTGTGTTTCTTGATATTAGGGCTGCCTTCGATTCGTTGGACAGAACTGTGCTCTGGAACTGTCTGTTAGAGAGAGGTGTACCTGAGAAATTTGTTAACATCCTGAAAGCCCTATACAGAAACACCTCAGGTAGAGTGAGGGCATACAACCAACTATCACCACTGTTCCCAACCAACAGTGGGGTTAGACAGGGTTGCCCAATCTCTCCATTTCTCTTTAACTTTGCCATCGATGACATTCTGGAGTCAGCTCTGAAGGATGTGCGTGAAGGTGGTGTAGATCTGCTACCTGGAGATAGACTTTTCGACCTCGAGTATGCAGACGATATCGTCTTACTGTGCGATAGCATGCAGGCTGCCCAAATCGCACTTAATCAGTTGGCGATCAGTGTCTGTAAGTATGGTATGTGCTTTGCGCCGTCTAAGTGCAAAGTACTGTTACAAGATTGGCAGGAGCCTGTACCTGCACTCACTCTTGCGGGTGAACCGCTTGAAGTTGTTGATAAGTTTGTGTACCTGGGTAGTTGTGTGAGTGCTGGCGGAGGGGTGACGGATGAGATTTCCAACCGTATAATGAAGGCTAGGGTGGCATACATCAACTTGAGCCACCTCTGGCGCCGTCGCGACGTTAGCCTGGCTGTCAAAGGTCGGGTATACAATGCTTCGGTGCGAGCTGTCCTGCTCTACGCCTGTGAAACCTGGCCTCTCCGAGCTGAGGATGTGCGGCGACTCTGCGTGTTCGATCACCGCTGTCTCCGCAGGATTGCTTGCGTTCGATGGCATCATCGCGTGAGTAATTCTGAGGTTCGGCGGCGTGTGTTTGAACAAAGTGGAGATCACTATTCCTTGAATGTCGTCATCTGGAAACACCGGCTCCGGTGGCTTGGACATGTGCTCCGAATGTCACCCCAGAGGCTTCCGTACAGGTCTCTGTTCGCTAGCCCTGGGACGGGATGGAAAAGGCGGAGAGGTGGTCAGTCCATGACGTGGCGTCGTGGGATGAAGGATTTTTGTGCTAGATTAGCATCGGTTGGTGTGTCACGACTCCCTGGTTGGGGTCCGAGAGATAGCTCAAATCGATGGCTCGAAACGTTATCGGATATGGCCAAGAATCGTAATCAGTGGCGAATGTGTTGTGATTTCCTTCTTTCTTCCCTTCCCGATGATAGCTAACGAACACTGTTTGAACTTGTTAAGCATGACTGTTTTCCTTCCAGATGAAGTTCTTTATCCGTTCTCTACTTATATATATTTTTTCTTTTCCTTCCTTCCTTTTTTTGATCTATGTTGTTTTATTATTATTGTGTGGCGCATCTTTCTTGGTGCCATATTGTACCAAGTTTTTTATGCGTTTAAATAAATAAATAAAATAATTCGCGATTTATCTTGCTAGCTGCTGCATAGTATGGTGAGTGCACTAGGCTCCACAGGAACAAGTGAACCAGTATAGGCATACTGATGTGCTCTAATGTGACAGCTTGTCTTTCAAGTGCCGGCTGAATGGTTTCTCGGTAGAAAATATTACTTGTGAGCTGGCATGGAAGAATTTTCTACTGAGAGACTTTGGAAACTATCTTCAGAGGGCTTCTGCTTGAGTATCGCATTTAAATTCAAGAGGAAGCAGTAGCAAATTTTGATGGCAGTACAAGAGTTCAGGCGTAAGTTATATATTCAAAAGAAGTACGTTCAACCTTTATCTTTACCACAGTCATCAAAACCAGTCAGTTCTCTCATTAGTGATTATCCTATTACTTTTCTTATCCAAAGTTACTACGTTTTGTAAACCCTTAATTGCACAAATAGTCAATTTTCTCGATAACATTTTTTCCGGAAGACGTCCTTGGTTGACCAATACACCCATTTCGTATTTTGATTGGACACTAGTCAGTAACTGGTGCGACGTGTCTAGTCCTTTCTTCGGTGCAGACTGAATTCTCTCAGTCAGGTTTGCAATGTAGCCACCATCCCAGGTAGCTTGCCATTATGGTTCACATTGATTTGATAATATTAGATAGTTGCAGGCGATCGGCAGGAAGCCTTGGACCTAGCTTTCGTGCTAGTTGCCACTCACTAATCAGCAAGGCGTATCTGCAACACTGGAGGAACTCATGTCCTTTCTGAGATTGGAACCCGCATCACCAAATTCTATCTACGATCAGGGACTTTACCATTGAGTTATTCCTGCTGATTGCCTCCAACTATCTAATATCATCAATCAATGTGCACCGTGATGGCGAGCTACCTGAGATGGTGGTCACATTGCAAACTTGACTGAGAGAATTCAGTCTGCACCAAAGAAAGGACTAGACACGTCGCACTAGTAACTAGCGTCCAATCAAAATACCCACTACAGTCCTACAGGAGGTGAATAGCGAGCCCAAATAGCTAGTTCAGTGGTAACGTCTGACTTCAGGCAGCATTGGGTGACGTGGGTTCGAATCTCAGAAGGGACATGAGTTCTTTTGAGGTCGCAGATAGGCCTTGCTGACTAGTGAGTGTCAACTAGCTCGAGGCATAGTTCGAAGGGTTCCTGCCGACTGCCTCCAAACTATCTAATATCACACCCATTTCATGAAGTTTCTTCTTCTTGCATACAAACAAAATCTTATCAGTACGTTGATGTATAGCGCTAGAAAAATCTGCAAAGCCGACACTTTATATGGTGGAATAAGGAAATCAGAAAACTTTTTATACGAGAACGGACACCCCGAAATATTTGTTAAAGTCTCAATGAGGAAAGCAGTTAGAAAGAATGCCTGCAAACTGTGGAGAAGAAGCACATATACATGACTTAAACGTTTAAAGGAGACGGAGCTATCGAAATGCTGGCATGGAAACTTCAAAAAATAATAGCTAAAACATTCTTTGCCACAACAGTATGCTTAAAAATCCGCCACTCCTTGTACAATCCCAACAGAAGTTAAGGATAAGCTACTAAGTGTGGCCACTTCAGTGTGCATTTATGAAGACAGTTACACAGGTAGAACAACTCGGCAAGCCCAGCGTCACCTAGTGGGACACTGCGCAACGTGGTTAGGCAAGGGAGTTGTCAGTTCGATCAAAAGTTGCAAGCTGGCACATCTAGTGGATATAGAGCACAATACTGACAAAAATTCAGCTTTTACAATTCTATACACGACGCCACCTAAACTCCCTTGGCTAGTATACCTTCATTTGCGAAGCATAGCTGAGGCAATTACTATAGAGATTTTTCAACCTATCTCTGTTTTCAGAAAAAGTATGTTCAATCTATCGCCATCCCCGGCTTTCATCCGCAAACTAAAATAGTTATCTCTCCTGATGTCACCGGATAACTGTAAATACCACCTTATTATATTTATTTTTTATTTGTAATACTAACTGTATTATTAATATCATGCTGTGCTGTAGTTGTACATTTTAATCTCCGTTTAACAATTTATCATTATAACTGTATTATCTAATCGCTATATGACAACAGTCATTTTCCCCTCTACCCTCAACTAGTATTCACATCCCACCTAAACACTTACAGTTTCCTAGATTGGATAAACACTGGAATGAATTTATCCTTGTTATTATCATTTAATTCACACCTCTGAACTCCGATCCTTGATATTTTATTATCGACATTAATTCAAATGCGTATGACTAATATTTCATCGTTATGTAAGTTTAAAACCTAATGAAAATTTACCAAAATAAGTATTTGCTTATATTATTGTTATTGTTCCCCTTGCTTCCTAGTGGAACATATGGCTTCAACTGCACATCTCCACTTGCCACTTCTGTCTTCTGCTGTACTTTTCACCTGCATCCATGTTAGTCCATACTGTTTCGACTCCTCTTCACACGATCTCCCCCATGTCACCCTTGCACCGACGACCCACTCGCCGCTTCCCTTTCACCCTGGTTCCACTCAAACAATGGTCTGACGCGCGCATGATGTCACCCAACGGCCTCCTCAGTGAGTGAGTGTTCACTCCATCTCCACTTTCTCCCACATATTTGTTGGGGGATTAATTGGTTCTTGTTTTGTTTGTTTGTGCCCATAGTTTCTTGTTGATGATTCTGGTGGTTCCTACCCGGCCATCTGATCTTCAGTATAGATCCAGCGAAGACAGTTGTTATTGATAAAGGTCTGCAACAGGCTGTTGGAAATATTCTTTATGACCCACCCGCCAACTTTCTGATCCGTATAGAAGAACTGACGTGACGTTTGTATTGAAAATCCGACTAGATTTTGTTGTTGATGCTGAGTTGAGTGACGAAGATTTGCAGATTGGTTTCAGGTTGATGAATATGTTTCTCGCCTTCTCGATTCTCGATTTGACATCCTCGTCCGTTCCGACTGCCTGTAGTTGAGACAATGATCACTAGATAAGTAAGTGAATGAAGTAACCTCTTTCAAAGTATCTGCTTAAGTCTTGTTTTATAGTTTTTATCCTATCAAGCTTTTATCAGATCTCTCTATTTATTGTGTGATTATTACATTTTAATCTCCGTCGACCGGAAATGATTCTGGAACTTTCTCAAGCATTTACGATATATATATATATATATATATATATATATATATATATATATATATATATACGAATGAAATGGGTAACTGATGATCGTCGAAAAGAAGAATCGCTTCACTGCGACCGTCTTTTTAATACTTCCTGTTAAAAAGATCAGGACAATAACCTGGAACACAGAACATCTGCGGTATGTAACAAATATTATTCAAGTCATTACTGTCCGGCGTTTTCAACATTAGGTGGACCATCTACATTGATGACAGAAATAATTCTGAGATTGTACTATAATATAAAATCATTATAGGAATCAGTATTACTCTATTTTTATTTTTATGTTTTTATTCCCTTACGTTCCCAGTGGAATGTAGGACTTCAAGCTAGACACTTGAAGCTTCCGTAGCAGCGGTGATAATTTTTCCGAGATGGGGTTGTTAGCCTCACTCCCAACCTCCTCCTTTAATGGTCTTATTACTGGTTAAGCGAGATAAAGGAAGGATCGAGCCCCGAACCACGTGCGTCATCTATGTTAAGTGCTGATTCTGTTTCATATAATACACTTTACTTGTAAAAGGAAGTTTTTAAAATGTTCACAATGTACTGTAGAGGGTAGTACTACTATCCTCTTGATGTGACTTCACTTATGTATGCCACATGATTCATGTTTTGCTTGTGACAATTAATTGCATATTATACAGGTATTTGATTAAGTTTTTGTGCATAATTTTTGACCAGATGGTATACGCAGATTGACTAAAGTGTTTTTGCTGGTTATTGTTATTTGAGGAGGCTTTTATTACACTTAACAAATTCATTTGTTAGATAATAGTGCTTACCAAACATGTACTTGTTAATCCGCGTATTTCAGATCTAAAGTCTGCAAATCGATCATGATAAATTGCTAAAGACCATATATCATCTAAATATCTGGAAAAAATGAAGGAAAAAGTTTATATACTACTAATATTACTACTACTACTGTGATTGAAAATAATAGAAAACAGTGTAAATAATAATCTCCCATTTTGATTGGATGAAGGATTTCATCATGACCTGACATCAGTTAGAGAACCCATGGAAAGCCTGCAGGGAGTACTGCTATTTCTTTTTTTATTTTTTTTTATTTTTGGTAACAGCTTGATTCCACACTGTATTTTTGGTACAAGTATGGAATTTTCAGCGTGGATATCGGTAGCCCAAATTTCGCAGGCCGACCATAGATATCATGTGTGCGCCGGTGTGGGCTCGAACCTCGGACCATGTGCATGGTCGTCGAGAGTCCTAACCACTGTGCCACCGACGCACATCCTACTTTGAGACTCTTCATCAGTACGCACCCACCGGGTTCGAAACAACCGTCTAATACTCCCTGCAGGTTTTCAAGTGGTTCTCTAACTGATGTCAGCTCACGATGAAATCCTCCATCCAATCAAACAAAATTCTTAGAAGACAAATGCCTGAAAATCTCACGCCTTCTTTATACATAACTGATCCCATGAGCCTAACTAGTAAGTCAGGAGATATAAGTAATGAAATCAAACAGTGTGGAAAATAATACCAGTAAATAACTACCCATCAAATTCTCTTGAAAAGTGTATGAAGACGCATAGGAAAAATAAGAGTAGTAATGATGATGAAGGTGATAATGACATGAGAAGTATGGAACTGAACTGAAAGCCTCTATAGTACTGTTGTATGAAGAAGGTGAATCAGAGGCCTTATGTGAGGCTGGAATTAGGGTGGCGCTTAAGTCAACTAACTCCCTCTCTGAGCTGAACTTTCTCGGCTTAAGGACCCAATAGATGCAATTATGAGAAATTATGTAATTTACCAAATACCATTTAACGACTCTGAGATCAGTCGCATAAGTCAAACGAGCAAATCAGGATCAATTGAATTATCAGAACATAGAAACTTGGCGAAAGCTAGCACGCATAACCCCGATAAGTTTAATAACCTAGCAAAAAAGTCTCAGCCATTGAAATTAATTCATATGCATTTAGCCACAAATTAGTGTGAGATGTGGTGAAAGTACTGAAGAGTAATACAGTTAGGTGGACAGAGAGAGAGAGACAGGATAATCACTGAATCTTTGTGCTTCAAATCGGCAAGGAACACATGCAGACGAAATGACACAACACGTATCCTGAATTAATCGAAGATTAAAGTGAAAAATAAAGGGAAGTGAAAAAATAAATAAAGTTAATTATGAAGCGGTATGAAGAAATTAATCCAATAACGTGAGCAATAAATTGTGCTCCAAACGCCATCCAGTTATTAATAATATGTCCCTCACTGTGTGGTGTTTCAAGTATTTTATTATTATTCTTTTGGATTCCAAGTGGAACATAGGGCTTCTACAATACATCTCCGTCCTCTTCAGTCGCAACCGCGGCTGCGCATAATCTCTCCTCTCCTCTTCACCATATCATCCTCACACCGATGACCCACTCGCCACTTCTCACTGAGATTCCACTCGAACGATGACCTGGCGGGCGACGTCATTCGATGACCTCCTCAACGTATGCCCCATCCATCTCCATTTTCTCCCACATATTTTTTCAGCGACTGGCTCTTGTTTGGTTGGTTCCTAACTAGAGTTTCTTGTTTGTTTATTTCTTGATTATTTATTTATTGTTTCTAATTCTTTCTGGCTGGCCGGTCGCCTGGCCATAGGATCTTCAGTATGGAGTCAGCCAGAGAAGTGGGAAGCTTCCGATAAAAGTTTGAAGTGACTTGTTGGAAATCCTTTTTGTTACATCTCGGCTAATGACTGACTTCAAATTTTGTATTGAAAATCTGAATCTTGTTCTTTATACTGACTGAGTCAATGCAGAAGGTTTCCAAATTGACTTCATGTTGATGAAGGTGTATTTGGTCTTTCCGATGCCGTTCCGATTGCCTGTTGTTGAAACAGTGCTTCCTGGCCAGATAACTGAAGGAAGTAACTTCTTTCAAATCTCTCTTTGATGGTAATGGGTAGCTTTCGCTCTTGGCTAGTTATTTATATCAACTCCGTCTTTTTTATGTTCAACTGAAGTCCTATCTTTACTTCTTATTCAGCCAGTTTGTTAGTTTTCGCTTGTTAATCCTCAAGTTTTCATGATTGAAGGCACAAATCATCCGCAAAATCCAGATCTTCTAGAGTCTTATGATCAGTCAGCCCAGCTTATTCAAGTCTTCTCTCTCCCACAGTCTGACGCATAATACAGTCCACCATAACTAAGAATATCATCGGTAATAATGGACAACCAGCTTGTCTGACTCCTGCATTCACTTCAAAGGCTCTTCTGAGTTTTCATTTGTGAACCCCTTGACACGTGGCGTTGTATTACGGCTGTTGAGTGAAGCTGATAAAGATTTGAGATACACCCTAGTTGCATATTAATTTATATCAGCTAAGCTTATCCTATGTGAAATTACGCTCCATCACAGTGCTTAAACTCTGCTTTTCATTGGAGGAAATCAAAAATCAAATTTTTGGTGCTATTATGTTCACTGAATTGGATTGGATGGCTTAATTATTTAGATATCTTCGTCCTGTGCGTTGTTGGCACAGTGGTTAAAATGCTCTCCGACCATGCACATGGTCCGGGGTTCGATGTCCGACTGGCGCACTGGATTACCTCCCTAAGCCAGAAATAACACTTGTAAGGAGGAAATATTGGGCATGGGGCCAGCAACCCCATCCCTTGAAAATAAACACTGTTACAGAAACTTCAAGCCTGTAGCTTTACACTCAATGTCCCACTGGGAACGTGAAGGAAAAAAATCTTTGCAGTAAACTTTAAACAAGATAGGCATTACAATGGTCTCCGACCTATATAACTAGTTTTCCTACTTATGTGGAGGAAATAGTTGAAGGTGTTACCTATAAGGTCAATGAAAACTTTAGTATCAAGGCAACCAGCTCAGAGAGCAAACCTAAATCGAACCTTAATTATTTCAAAAGCAAAACTTCTAATACATCCAACAATCTCAGTGGTATTCAGGTGTTGGTTTGCAGGGATTTGATCGGTTAAAGGATTTCATCAGCAGCTGATATCGGTTAGAGAGCCATTGACGAATCTGGGAGTATTTTGTAGGTGTTTCACCAAAGTTTGAAACTCTTCATCAGTAATCACTCACCGAACTCGCAGACCACTAAGCCAATGGCCTGTCCATGAATTCTAACTTTTGCCAATTCATGGAATGGCGAGACCATCAGCGAATGTCATCAATGGTCAGTATTTGTTCTCATGCCCAACTTGCTGTACCTCACTCGTCACGATTTCCCATTAGAACCCAGGTAACTATCTACCTGAATAGGTTCAGTCGCTAATGAGCATTAGATTAATATTCAAGCGTTGATGTGCAGGGATTAAATTGATCCTAGTTTCAAACGTCAGCGAGTACGAACTGATGAAGAGTCCCAGCCTGGAACGAAACAGCTGTCCGGTGCTTCCTAGCTGGTTTCCAATGTTCCTCTAACCGATGTCAGTTTACGATGAAATCCTCAAATCTCAATGGTATTTTAATCTGATACAAATATTTCTTTTCAAGTGCTGCGTGGCAAGGATTTGATTAGTTACAGTTTTGACAAGTAAACATCATTTAGAGAACCATTACAAAGCAGGAGGTGCTGTACAGCTGCTTCCTCCTTGTTAGGTATTCTTCATCAGTACGCACCAGTCATGCATTCCACAAGGAATCTGATGAGACATTTTTAAGACAATAATCGAAAGCCTACTAACTAACTAATCGCAGCTGAATCAATCAGACATCTTAATATCAATATCAGTTATCTTTAAACAGGTAACCACCTAATTTCTGACAGCCTATTTCATATTAAGTGCCAAAGTGTTTCAGAACTTCGAAAAATGAAAACAAAATCTGGACGACTTTGATCAGAGTTTGAAATTTCGAATCCTTTTTATCAAGAAAACGAAACAGATCTTTCTTCGATTTTAATCTAAAAATATAGTATGATATGTGCATACTATAAATGCCTTTTAAAAGTCCATTCTCCTTTAGACTTTGTCCCTCTAAACCACAATTCTGAACGGTTAATTTAAAACAGAAACCAATTGAGTACATCGATTACGTTTATTGGTTAAACCGACAGTTATTGTAGTTAAATGTATTGACCGACATGAACTAAATCTCAGAAATTCACAGAGTTCTTAGAGTACAAAGTCGATTATAAATGATTTTTTGAAACTACTGAAAATAAATCACTGAACGTGGTAAGCACTTTTAGATTAGTTGAGTGATCGATAAATTTATTTTAGTTCGTCGATTCCTTCTAACTTCATTTGTGAGTGTTGGAGGAAGTCGTCCAGTTGAAGCTTTTCATGGACATTTGGCAGCCACCACTTAAATCAAAGAATAATATAAACATCTTCTTCCATGGCATGAAATTCCTTGAAGTTTCCTATTTAGAAACACTATGTTCAAAAACAGACATCCAACCTCATCAGCTTAATAGAGAAACATTTAGGGAGAAAAGCCGACAGTCTATAAACCTAGATGTGCCAAAGAAACAACTAAATTTAAATGTGAAATTCAAAAGGAGACACTATTTGTGAAGTTCTCTGATGCTGCATGCAGAGAGTAATTCAAAGTACATCCTTTGCTACATCTGCCCGCTTTATCTTTTACACACACTCTCTAGACTACCATAAATTCAAAGAGAAGAGCCCAAGCTACCAACAGTTCCTAAAATGGCCTGATTCTTACAAATGCAATTCCTTGGGGATAACATCAGCGAAACACTAATACAACGCGTTAGAAATTCGGGTTAAAGAGCATTCCTTGCCGCTGAATTTCGCTGTGTCTTCAAAATCACTCCTCTTCTGCGTTCGGGGGTAAAATACAAACTGCCTAATTTCGCCTCTTCCATGTGTATCTAACAATTTAACTGCTCTTGTGCAGCCAGTTACATAGGCCGTAAAATTAGGCGAGTTCCGAACATCGACTTACGTGGACAAACAAAATCTATTCGCAGCGCTATTCTATCTCATTTTGTGGATACGAAACACAAGAGTGATGTCAACGAGACGGCTTTCGAAGTCATTTACTGCATAGTCAACAAATATTAACTTCACCTTAAGAGTTCGATTACTAAATATTACTTTGGACATCTAGGTTCGAATGATCTTCAGTTTTCGGGAAATTGGCTTAATTTTAGTTGATATTCTATTGGCTACTATATCTTTATTATTATTATTATTATTATAATTTAATCATCTTTAAAGAAGTGTAATTCCATTGATCTTATTTAACGAATTGATATTATTTAAAAAGGCCAATATTGTTAATGACGACTATTCTAGAACATTCTATGTATATAAACATATGTTTAATTGTAAAACAAAAAGAGGAAATTATCGAAAATGATATTCTTTGCTCAATTATCTTGTGTTTTATAGATATGTGGATGAATATTTTCGCCATAATAATTTACCTAGTAGACATATCTCATAATGCAACGACAGGCACGACAAACCTGTGTAGAATAGTGACAGCGCCAACAATAGGCAGTTTAAATCATCAGTATTACTGCCGTACAAAAAAGGAACCTCTGAGACCTTATGAAGAGTTCTTACTTAACAAGGCAGGTATAAACCTGGAATTCAAACCCGAAAACTCACTTAGAAGCAGACTTTGCTGGTTAAAGAATCCTGCAGAGCAGGTTACGCTAAGTGACTTAGTTTATCTAATACCATGCCTGCAATGATTTTCAAATCAAAGTAGTAGAACAGGGGCAGTCAGACCAGCGGAGCTGCACAAAAACCCCGCAAAATCTAGATTGGTTGATTCGGATAAGATAAGAAATCTGGAAAATAGTTCAGCTATTGCACTCACCACATGCAATTACACACAATCATACAATTTTTTTTGATTACAGCTTGATTCCACACCGTATTTTTGGTACAAGTATGGGATTTTCAGCGTGGATATCGGTAGGCCAAAATTCGCAGGCCGACCATAGTTATCATGTGTGCGCCGGCGTGGGCTCGAACCTCGGACCATGTGCATGGTCGGCGAGAGTCCTAACCACTGTGCCACCGACGCACCAATATAGAATGGGATAAGATGGCAGTCTTAAAATCTAATGTGACAAGCTAGAGAAGGAGATTCATAATGGATACTACATTTATTGAATCAATTGAAAATACATGCGATAAGTATCTGTCCTGGACATCTGGAAAATTCTACTGTCCCTACGAGAAACGTGAAGGAATGAAGAAAACTATAAAACTAGGGTTTTAATGTTGTGTAGCTATAATTGATGGTATGATTATGAGTAATAAATTGTTTTTGAAATGTCATCCAGTAAATAATACTATTTGACTACGTGATATACCCAATAAACAAGCTAATATGGCATTATCTACCACCACAGTGCCACGTTTTACACATATATTCTTTTACAAAGTTCATTAGCCTCTTCCACAAACGAATTACTTCAATCAATAAACAGTGAATGCAGATAAATATCTTATCTTACTGAAAGCTATTCAGAGGCTGATAATAATAGTATTAAAGTAGTCTGCTTATAATTACTATGTCACTGAATCACTAAGTAACGGGCGGTCTGCTTAAAACTTGGGCGACCTATAAACCTCCATCAATATATATATATATATATATATATTGCATATAGTTTCTCTTGTTTACTTTGTTTAAACCCGGAAATATCACATGATGGATTGGTTCGCTCTCCAGGGCGAAGTTTGCGTTGGTGTTACAGCGTTTAGAAGGCTCGCCGACTATTCACGTGGTCCGGGGTTCAACCCTTGGCCACTGACGCACTCCTTTACCTTCCTAAGCCAGGAACAAAAACGATGGTAAAGAGAAAACGTTGGGCATGAGGCTAGCAACCCCATCTTGTAAAAATAAACACTGCGACAGAAACTTCAAGGCCCTATGTTCCAATGGGAATGTGAAAGAATTAATAATAATTATAATAATCCAGGGCAAAGTCAAACTTTAAGCATCACTAACTACTGATCAGCGAATAACCTTGAACTCACCAATCACGTGAGGGAGACATTTTTGTGCTTGGTATACACATATTTATGAAGAAAATTCATAAAAACTGTATAAACGTTTTACAGAGGATACTTTCCTATCACATTTGATAAAAATAGTTCTCAGTTTTAGGTCTGAGCATCAACAGAGTAGAATTCCCTTGTGGGTAAAATTTATTTTGATAAAGTTTCATAGTGTTATACAGTAATATTTACTGAGCAATAAATTGTGCTCGAAACGTCATCAGTAAATATTACCTTATAACACTGTGAGACTTTATCAAAATAAATTTTATCTGTAATCGAATTTTACTCTACCACAGTGCCCAAGTTCTATTCTTATATCAACGCAGTAATTTAACCACATTCTATGCATGTGCAATTATTTAGGTCTTCTAACCATAACAATAAATCTAATCTTTCCTGAACCTAACCCTAAAGTGAAAATATCCCTAAACTAACTGTAATCTAACTCGAACCAACCCTTATGTCGCCTTTTTTAGGTCAACCTAACCCTAACCTTGTCCTTGGCTTGAAGCGTGAATTTTTCTTTTCCAAACCTAAGCTGTAACTTGTCAGATATGCCATTTAATAGCATAACACTTCGATGGGCATATTTTATTGATGACGACAACGGTATTTACCAGGTTTCACTAACTTGCTCACTGTGTGTTTCAAGGTCATTGTTGATGTGGTCGCACTCCATTGGTAGTGAGCGGTGCTCACAGTTTAATTTGGCCCTCTTCAAGTCAGATAAAACTATGTCACACTATCTACTACCAAATAATCGCTTACTTGAGAATCCTGGACGAAGAGAAAGTATCATGCAATAGACTCCGCTTAGAATTATGTACATTTTATAAACATTGTTCAGAATAAGGCTATTATTATTAATATTACAAATGAAGGTACCACTTTATTTTGTATAAAATGTTATTCTCCCATTATTCAGAATAATTTGTCGATCAGACTGCCTTAAGAAAAATACACGACCTCCTATGCCTAATGTAAATCATAATAATAAAAAAGTAGAGTTAAGAGAAAAATACTCACTCATAGAAGTCAGTAATCAAGCCTTCATCGAATCTAGATACTAAATGATTCAGAAGATATTCGTGGAGATTGTAAAGTTCAGTGTAGTTATCAGCAGGAAACTCCTAAATAAGCCGAAGAGAAAAAAATGAGAAAAAAATGCGTAACAATCACAAAGACAATTCTACTTTGAGTGAATTTTAGTTATTAGCTTATGTCATTGTGCGTCGGTCGCACAGAGGTTAGGTCGCTCGGCAACCATGCACATGGTTCGGGGTTCGATCCCCGGCCACCGACGCACTCCTTTACCTCGCTTAGCCAGAAATAAAAACACTGGTAAAGAGGAAAGGTTGGGCAGGAGGCTAGCAACCCCATCCTGTAAGCATTAAACACTGATACGGAAACTTCAATCCACTAGCTTCAGGCCCTGTGTTCCACTGGGAACGTGAAGGAAAAAAGAGGCTGATGTCATGCATCCAGTTCTTGGTGTTGCTGCAGAATGAATTCTGTCAGTCCAATTTACAATGTGGCCATCAATCATGGGGCGGGGGCTAGCCATCACGGTGGACTCTGAATTACGGATAACCAGTTGAAGGCAATCGATAGAAAGTCTTAGACATGAGTTTCGTGTTTTTTGTCACTAATCAGCAAAGTCTGGCTGCATTATCGGAGGAACTTATATCCCTTCTGATGTTCTAACCCTGACAACTGACTCCAACCATCTTACAACAACAATAACAACAATTCGAATTGCACTTGGATGATAGGGACCTAGAATGCAGGTCACATTGCAAAACTGACTGAGAGAATTCAGTCTGAGCAAACACCAACGACTAGACTCATTTAAAGCAACCATTACAGTCTTATGGGTGATCACTTGAGATCTGGATGATCTCAATGGTAACGCACTGAGTAATCTGGACTCGAATCACAGATGGGATAAGGTTTTCTTGAAGGCTTCGGATACAACTTGGTGACAACTACCAACAAGCATGAAACCTAAGCTCAGGGCTTCCTGAAGGTCGCCTTCAACCACTTAACAAAGTAATACTATTTATTTATATGCATAATATGAAGAAGGTAAATATGCACGCAGTTGGAACAAAAATTTGGCAGTGGTGAATTAATAATTTCCAAATAGTGGAGGCTTTAGGAGACTTCATCAGTAACTATCCTGGTATCATTGAGAAAAATTCATTGCACAGAACACCTCCAAAGGGGATGAAGTCTTCGGCGAAATTAAACTTTAGACACCAAAGACTTTAGAACGCTCAGTCAGTATTTTGAAGAAACTAGTTCAGTTGCACAATAATCATGAATGGAATATGCTCAGTGAAGTATTAAGGTATTAAGCAGGATATCTTCTAAGAGTTTTAGTTAGGTTTGGGGAAAAATAACTTAAGGTTTAGGCTGGGAAAAGGTTAGGGTTAAAAGTTAACCAACTTAGGGAGATATGAGGGTTGGTTAGATGGAAATTAGGGTCAGGTCAAGGAAGGATAAGGGATAGAGTTAGAAGATCAAATTTATCTCTTCAGGGTTATTGGTGCGTTAGCGCCACTTCACTATCTGAAGTTTATCTTTTCGATGTGGTTGTGTTCTCTGAGCTGGATACTTTATTTGCAAAGCTTCTATTAACCTAATAGGCTACATCTTCAGGGCATACTTGAATTAGAAGTGAGCCTTCAGATTTCTCCACGAGTTCATTAGCCATCTCTCCCAGTGACCTTGAACGTGATTGGTTGTTTCTGTGTTGTCACACCCTCTAGGCGGCTACTTGTATTGGAAGTGATCATTTCTTTGGCTTAAACTTTGACCCTTTGTGTTTGCGATTCCCTTCTTATTGATTGGTCGATTTTGTCAATGTCAATGTATCTATTGATTGACACGTTCAAGGTCACCAGGAATGATGACTAATAAACTTGTGGGGAAACTTAAAAGCCCACTTCAGCGAATTTAAGTATGCGCTGAAGATGCTGCCTAGTAAGGCAACGGAAGCTTCTCAAATAAACTATCCAGCTCAGAGAACACAACCACATCAAAATCATCCACCTGAGCTAAAAATCTTCTCCATTATATCTGAAGTTTATCTTTGCTGAACCTTCTTTACCGATGGTGCTGAATAAGTCTTACTAGTAACTTTCATTTTATCATAACTTGCTATTTAATCCATCAGATTCGTGACCAAATATCTTATTCGGGTAAAAATCACGAGATTTTTTTCTGTGCATCATTGTGTGTTTTGCATAGAATTTGGTTACCTCAAGACTGTATTTCCATACTGATAAACCGATGAAGAACAACATCTAAAAAGGCTTTTTCTTAGACTATATAAAAATTCACTGCCACACTTTTCTCTATTGATCAACGCACTATCGATCTTGTCAGAGAATTTTGAAAATTTCACCGAGTATAAAAATAATTCACACCCAACTATCGTACAAATTGTAACTATAAGAAAAGACGATTTACTCTGTTATCTACAAAGGTTTTTTATTTTCAATTTCATAAATGGTATGCCATATGCAATTTTTATAAAAGTCTTTCGAATATCGCAAATTGACGTCAAACATTCCACAGACTCAATCTGTCATGTCTACTAATCATTAGTCTGAATAAAAACAGTTATTCAAATATTGGTTTGTAGGGATTTAGGTTGATTGGTTACAGGATTTCATCATGAGCTGACATCGGTTAGAGAACCATTGGAAAACCCACAGGGAGTACTGAACAGCTGTTTCGTCCAAGTTTGGGACTCTTCATCAGTTATTATATATAGTGGCATTCTCATCTTTTAGTAACGCTTACTACTACAATGTTGTTCTCATCTACTACCACACATCAACTTTATATTTCAAATCCTGTGGTGCATTGTTTGAAATGAAATACTCTACGCTGTTTTTTTCTTAATTTTTAATATTTATTTATTTTATTTTATTTATAACTTATTTATTTTATTTATTTATCTTTGATTTTTAAAAATCTTATATAATTTATGAGGTAATTAGATGTAATATACTGTAATGCACGCTGAAAATTCCATACCTGTACCACAAATACTGTTTGGAATAATTATTTTTTTTTATATAGCCCCCAGAGATGAAAGGGCAAGTCAGCTGTTATCACTTATTTGAAATAAGAATCATTTACAGCGTAATGTTTTCATGCGCTGCAATCGAATCTTCAGAATGTAATATAAAAAGCAGAAATTAATCAGAATCTAGTACTTATATTCATTTTAGTAGTGACTACTGGGCTTGAAATTGAGTTAAAGACTCTTCTCTTCAGTTGGCCCCATGACTGCCCTTAAGCCTTCATTTCTTCCTCATAGAATCGCCTCCACATCACCTTCATAACCTCGCCCAACTCCTCGTTACCCATTGAGGTTCTTCTCGACAGACAGCCTGGTGTATGATGTCAATCAACGATCTTCTAAGCATATCTCCAGCCCATCGCCATTTTCTTAGAAATATTTGTGGATAATAACTTCCTGGGAGGGGGTGGTTCACTCTTTCCCAGTGTTCCATGTTTCTAATCCTTTCTGGTCATCTGGCCTTCACTACCAAGAGAAGACAGCTGTTGAAGAACTTTTAAAGCCTGCTTCAAGTGCTTTCAGTGAGATGCCTATCAAGTCTATGAACCTTATGGAAGCCATGAATGACTTGACGTTAGTGCCGGAAATCCAGATCTTGTTCTTTCTAATTAGTACAGTAGATTTGCACACTAACTTCAGTGTAATGAAGGTCTGCCTTTGACATTCTCATCCATGCCCCGTGTAGCTCAAACGATGCTTCTTATATATGTTAAAGAGGTAACCTTCTTTAAATGTTTCCCGCCAGAAGTGATTGGTGCTTGTTGTTGTTAGCTGATGCGTGTCTTCAACCTCTCCATCTTCTTAATGTTCACTTAAAGTCTTGTCTTCTCTTTCTGCATTTTTTTTGCCAACTTGTTGATTCTCACCTGTAGTTCTTTGAGTTCCTGTGACATTACTTGGATGATTTCATCATGAGCTGACATTGGTTAGAGAACCACTGGAAAACCTGGGAGTTTAAATAGAGCAAGAACAACAGTTTTTCGCAGAATAAAATGATATCATCATTGTTCACTTTGTTGGCTTCTCATCAGCTTCTTACAGGCTAAAGTCATTATTGAGTAAATTTCAGCATTACGTAATCATATGAAGGAGAGGTGAAAATATCCAGTTCCCAGGTTGGCAAAGAAAGATTGATAACTGTTTCTTTCTGAATGCACAAATCAGGCTTCAGGCACTTGATGGAAATGGCTTCAGCAAACTTGAGGAGAAGTGAACTCTTACGCCTATTGATAATTTTGAACGATCTCGCGAAGTCCACCTCATGACCATGTCAAGGAGATGCGTGGCAATGGCATTGTTTAAAGCATTTGTTCCCTTTAGACAAAAGCTTTTTGGCACATGTTCAGAAAATCGTAGGTATGCCCTTCTTTCTGCCCTTCCAATGTAAATTTGTTGGAGTTAACATGACAAGGATATTTATCGATTTTTGATTGGACCAAAGAGCAAGTTGTTCGACAGATGGAGATGAGGTTAGCTGCAGGATAGGCTCTAGCTAGTGACGTACTCAGCCTTCTGTTGACCACTGCCGCAATGTTTTCACCTTTATAATCAAATTGAATATAGATTGGCTTTTTCTCCAGTGTGATTTGCTTTACTTTTGAGACTTCAGATCTTCCGTACCTGTTAATGAACGTTTGAGGGTAACCGTTGCTCATCAACATCTTTTCGAGAAAATCAAATTATTTCTCTAAGTTCTCTATAGAGCATAATCTCCTAGCTCTATAATTCATGGTATGGCGCGACCATCAGCGAGTGTCATCGGTGGCGATTATTTGTCTTCACAGCCAACCTGCTGTATCCTACTGGTCACAACTTCCCACTAGAACCCAGGTAACTATCTACCTGAATATTTTCAGTTGCTAATGAGTATCAGATTAATATTCATGTGTTTGTTTGCAGGGATTCTGTTGGTTTCAGGATTTCATCAATATCAATCTCCAATGAACGGTGTGCCGTACTATCCAGTCCACGAAAATCAGAAATGCCATCAGTTATGGTAACAGGACTAGCCTTCCTATTGGCCATGTTATTTTAATTTTTTGACTTGAATCTGATCCTTCTGTGGTCATCTACATTCACTGTAGACATAGCGGAGTGGGTGGGGCTGAAGGTGGCTATTTTACGTAATTATTATTGACCATAATATACTATGAATTGGTAATGAGTCATTGTCATTTGGTTTGCAAAGTAGTCGATAAATCTAGTCAAGTTGCCTTTGCAGAATTCAACTTGATTATAACCGGAAATTATTTCATTTTGATGAAATGAAGTTTTGTTTAGTTCATTTCAGGATATCACTGAGAATTATGAATCAAACATATTCTCTGGACTGCAAGTTGTAGAATTCTAGGAAGTTATTTTCGATTCGAAATCCATCAGTTGCAAGAGAACAACAGCAAGCTGAAATGAAACAGAGTTCTAAATCTGTATCCGGAAAATCTTTATGGAGTGAATAGAACTGAATTCAACATGTGAAAATATTAACCTATACGGGAATAGTTAGACCATGACTTCCTTCAAACTGATTTCTACATGACCGGACGAGGAGTAGTCAGTAATGAACAGATCAGAAGCACCTAAAGTTTTGAAAATGCTACTCATTCCTTATATTAGAGATCCCTTCCAAAAGTATCTAGATGATAGCAGGCACATTATACGTCAGAGGTCCAACACCGTTTTGTTAAGGTGTAATAGAATTAACTAAGAATTATATTTATACAAAACACGTGCAACAGAAATGACTCAATGCAAACACCAGCTGTATGGAAGATATTATTACCACCAGTCAGTCAGTCAAATAAGAGGAGGATAATGAATAATCTTAGAATTCTATTACAATTCACATACATCATAACATTCTAACAAGTTACCTATATATTTTGACTATAAAAATACTCGTCTTATTTCTCATCTGATTGTACCTGTAACACTCATATTATTATATCCGAATTTGCATTATCCTATATTGGTTAATTTTTATTCAAATGTCTAATCATCTAATCTAATCAAGTAATCCACAACGGGAAACTTACGGAAGCCTTCAAAGTGAGGACGGGAGTGCGACAAGGCTGTCTACTATCACCAATGATCTTCCTGATTGCAATTGATTGGATAATGCGACAGACAACGGCAACCAACGAGGGAACAGGCAAAAAATGGACTGACACAAAAGACTTGGAGGATCTGGATTTCGCCGATGATATATGTCTGATTTCCTACAAACTGGAAGATATGTAAGTGAAAAGCAACACGTTTGCAGAAGAAGCATCAAAGATAGGACTTGACTTCAGGTGAACATAGAGAAAACAGAGGTGATGAAGATTCCTAGCCAACATCAACAACAACAACAACAGACAACAATCAGCATAAGTGGGAGGAACCTGAAAGAAACAGCCTCCTTCACCTACCTGGGAAGCATCGTCTCAACTACAGGAGGAACTGACGAGGATATCAAAGCCAGAATCGGAAAAGCAAGACAAGCTTTCATTACTCTCAAATCTGTGTGGAGGCCGACAGCACTCAGCATCAAAAATAAGGTCCGGATTTTCAACTCCAATGTAAATTCAGTGCTACTATACGGATCAGAGACTTGGCCAGCGAGTCATGAAGAGCATCTCCAACAAACTTCAGACCTTCATTAACAGTTGTCTTCGCTCAATACTCAAGATCAGATGGTCGGCTAGAAAAGATCAGCAACAGGGATCTCTGGGAGCGAACCAATCAGGAACCGATTGTGAAACAAATAGGCAGAAAGAAATGGAGATGGATTGGCCATACTCTGAGGAAACCATCAAGTGACATCACTAACAAGCCCTTGAGTGGAACCCGAAAGGGAAGTGTCGAGTTAGTCGTCCAAGGGTGACTTGGAGGGGGTCATGCGAGGAGGAGATGAAAGCATGTGGACAGACCTGGAGCGGGGTGAAAAAGTTGTCAGAAAAGAGAAGGCAATGGAGGTGCGCAGATGAAGCCCTATGTTCCTCTAGGAACTAAAGGATACAATAATAATAATAATAATCAATTTCACTCATGTATATAAATGAAGTGAAAAGTTGTTTGAGTGAGTACCTTGGTATGATTATGAGTGGCAATAGTTTGTGCTTGAAACGTCATTAATTAATATTACTGTATAACACTGTGTGACTTATAAAAATTAAATCCTATCTATAATGGAGTTACACTCTACCACAGTGGTCAAGTTTTATACTGATAACAAAAATAGTTGGTCAAAAAAGGAAGATAAATAACGAACGAATGATCAAACGTACCTTTGCAGATAAACAGGTTATGCCTTCAATTAAACTGTACTTGTTTATATGAATTGAGAAGTATCTCTTTTCCTTGCTAGTTTCTCCAGTGACTAATAAACGTCCCTATAGGTAAACAGGAAGAAGAAGAACAGTAGAAGAATATAGTCAAAAACATTCAAGAAAACATTCCATACTTGATATATATATATATATATATAATTATTATTATGTCTCTATTATTTATAAATTAATTCAAAAACTGTCAGACTGAATACCTAGGCTAACCATGTTTCCTTCAACTGATCCTGTTAAGCGGGTTATATAAGCCGTGCCTTCTAGGATCTTGATTTGTAATCCGCTGAAACACCTACCATTGTGGCTAATTAAATGCTTAGTAAAACAAAACGATCAAACCGGCTATAAAGACAGCAATGACGAATCGTTCTAACTATCATCTAGGTGGCACTGAATACATGGAAAACACTTCTTACCCGTAGTAAATTTATAAGAAGCAACAACTGTGAAAAAGATTATTATCAGAAAAAAAGCCCATACTTCCGTTTTTCTGAACATGCAATAAGAAGCCTACGTCTCAAGTCAACAAACGCTTTCAACAGTGTCGTTACCAGGCATCTTGTTATGGTTCATGAGGTGGAAACCGCAAATTCCTTTAAAGCTATCAAGTGATATATAAAGTTCAATTCTTCTCAAGTTCGCCGAAGCAGTCTCCATCAAACGCCTGAAACCCGATCTATATGTCCAGAAAGAAGAAGCTATCAGTCTTTCCTGGTCTACCTGGTAGCTCTCTCACATTTGAATGTCGTAATCTTCGGCTTTAACCTCCCCCCTTGATATAAGAATAATTTTGCTTTTCTCTTGTTTCCATGATTTCAACTGAAGTCAGTAAAATGTCATTTATTTTATTTGTTACTTATCATCTTACGGCTTCAACTGCACGTCTCCACTTGCCACTTCTGTCTTTCTTCTGCTGTACTTTTCACCTGCATCCATGTTAATCCATACTCTTTCAACTACTCTTCACATGATCTCCTTCATGTCACCCTTGCACTTACGTCCAGCTCGCCGCTCCCCATTCTGTCGGGTTCCACTCGAGCAATGGCCTAACGCGCGCGCGATGTCACCCAGCGGCCTCCTCAGCGAGTGTAAAGTCCATCTCCACTTTCTTCTGCATATTTTTTGGGCGATTGTTTCTTGTTTTGTTTGTTCCCAAAGTTCGTTGTTGGTGATTCTTTCCGGCCCGGTCATCTGATCTTCAGTATAGATCCAGCGAAGACAGATGTTGATAAAGATCTGCAACAGGCTGTTGGAAATATTCTTTGTGACCCACCCGCCAAGTTTCTGATCCGTATAGAAGAACTGACTTTACGTTTGTATTGAAAATCCGACTAGATTTTGTTGTTGATGCTGGCTGAGTGACGAAGATTTCCAGATTGATTTCAGGTTGATGAATGTGTTTCTCGCCTTCCCGATTCTCGATTTGACATCCTCGTCCGCTCCTCCTGTAGTTGAGACAATGCTCCCTAGATAAGTGAATGAAGTAACCTCTTTCAAATCCCTCCCGTTGATAGTGATTGACGTTGGATGTTGCTGTTGTTGTTGGTTGGTTATTTTTATAACCTCCGTCTTGTCTGTGTTCACCTGGAGTCCTGTCTTCACCGGCTGCTTCTTCGACCAGTTTGTCGGTCGGTTTTCGCTTGTAAGTCTTCGATTTTGTGTGACATCAAACATAAATCATCCATGCGCGAAATCCAGGTCTTCTAGGTTCTTCCGCCGGTCCAGGATATTCCTGTCTTCTCGTTTCCCACTGTCTGACGCATAATCCAGTCCACCACAATTAGGAATATCATTGGTGATAGTAAGCACCCTTGTCTGACTCCTGTGTTTACTCCAAACGCCTCGCTGAGTTTTCCGTTGTGGATCACTTGGCATGTGCCGTTGTCGTACAGCTGTTGAATAAGGTTGATGAATATTTGGGCGCTGCACGCCGTAGTACTCGAGTAGTTTCCAAATTACTTCGCGGTCAACGCTGTCGAAGGCCTTCTCGAAGTCTATAAAGTTGAGGTAGAGGTTTGATTGCCATTCCATGCTTTGTTCTGTGATGATGATGCGTAGAGTTGCAATTTGGTCAGTACATGATTTGCCTTTCCTGAATCCAGCTTGTTCTGGTCGGAGTTCTGTATCCAGTGCATCCTTTATTCTCTCCAGGATGATGCGACTCAGGATTTTACTTGGCGTCGACAGGAGCATGATTCCTCGCCAGTTCTTGCAGAGTGAGGGATAAGTCGCACTTCTTTGGTAGTTTCACGAGGTAACCTTTCCTCCAGTCAGTAGGCACCTTTCCCTCCTTCCAGACCTTTTGCAATAATGGAGTCAGCATGTCTGCTGTAGTCTCTGGGTCCACTTTCAGTGCTTCAGGGGGTATTCCATCTGGTCCGGCTGCTTTTCCAGCTTTCAGAAGCTTGATTGCATTCAAGACTTCAGCTCTCGTTGGAGGATTGGTGTCAACTTGCAGTTGTGTGCGCGCTGTTGTTGGTATTTCTGGACGGGTTGCAGGTGATGGTCGGTTCAAGAGTCCTTTGAAGTGATCCGCCCATTGTTTAATCTGTTTTTCTTCCTTGGTAATTGGGTTCCCTTGGCTGTCTTTTATAGGTTTCGCTTGTGTTGGTCTCTTCCCGGATAGAGATTTGGTTATCTGATATAGTGTCCTCAGGTCCCTTTTGCCTGCTGCCTTCTCAGCTTCAGTGGCGAGGTTGTCGTAGAATCGTCTTTTGTCCTTCCTAGCACTCTTCTTCACTTCTTTGTCCAGTGCTTTGTAAGTTGAGCTCATCGTCTCCTTCTCCTGTCCGTCCTTGCATTGAATCATTTTCTCTTTCACCATTCTCCTCTCTTCTATTAATTTCCAAGTGTCCGTTGAGAGCCATTCCTTGTCTTGTCTCTTCTTTCTTCCTAGAACCGTTGAACACGTTTCGTTGAGAATCGCCTTCAGAGACTTCCAATGTTCTTCCACGCATGATTCTTCAGTGATGTCGCGTAGTGTTTCCTGCTTTGCTCTGACAGTTGCAGTGAAAGTGTCTTTTGTGGTTGTGTCCTTCAGTTTTGAGTGTTGAACTTGCATTGTGGCCTATCCCCAGCTATCCTCGAGGCTTTTAGTTTCACCTTGAAAGTCCCTTGTACTAGATAGTGGTCTGAACCCACATCTGCTCCTCTCCTTGACCTTGTGTCCAGTAGGCTCCGTCTCCACTTTCTTGAAATTGAGATGAAGTCTATTTGGTTCTTGGTGTTTCCATCTGGTGAAATCCATGTCGTCTTGTGTATATCCTTGTGTTTGAACACACTACCGCCAATCACCAAATCATTGAAGGCGCAGAAGTCTGAGAAGAGTTCACCATTGTCGTTCATTTCACCGAGGGCCTCACGACCCATGGTGAGTTCTCTTCCTGTGTTGTCTCCTCCCAGCTTCGCATTCATGTCGCCCATCAGGATTTTGATATCGCCATTTGGGACGTTGTCCATTATTGCTTGTAGTTGTCTGTAGAACGCCTCCTTCTTCTCTTGTTCTGAGACGTTTGTAGGCGCATAGCATTGAATGACTGTAACTTTCCTTCCTTTTGAGTTGAACCTGGCTGTCATTATCCTGGAGGAGATTGGTTCCCACTGCATGAGAGCTTTGGTTGCTGTTGGTGACATCATGATGGCCACTCCCTCGGTGTGCTCATGGTTGTCCTCTGGGTGGCCGGAAAGATTACTGTCTCTCCAGTAGGTAGTTGGCACCTTCCAGTTCCGTTCCATCTGCTTTCGCAGATTCCCAACACTTCTATTCTGTACCTTCTCATTTCAGCGGCTATCTGGGCAGCCTTTCCAGTTTCGTACATTGTACGAACATTCCAGGTACCCATCCTTACTTTTGCTTTCATCGAAAGAAGGCACATCGGCTGACTGGCTTCCCGAAGGCTTTCACCAGCCTGCGTCATTTCACTTCCCCGATTCCAGCGAAAAGTAAGGCTATTGCTTATGTTTTTTAGAATTTTTAATATATTTATTCGTTGAAGTTTCTGTAGCGATTTGGTTGTTTTACAGGGGTGGAGTTGCTAGCATCACGCTCCAACCCTTCTTCTTTATCCGGGCTTGGGGCCGGCAAGAAAACTAGCGCGCTAGTAATCTAACAAGCTAGTAATCTAGGCGAGGTTAATTTTTTTTGTACATAAACTAAATAATAAAATGTAAAGGCGACGCCGTTGTTTTTTTTAATTGTCTTTTTTTGGGTGTTGCTTTTTGATTTTATATTGTAATGCACGCTGAAAATTCCATACCTGTACCACAAATACTGTTTGGAATAAAGCTATTACTATTATTATTAAAAGTTTGACAGTGTGATTATACGTACAGTTTACTCATCGTGACCATTTTTTAGATAATACATTTGTAAAATTTATAACCAACTAATCCATAGTCCTTTACGTAGTTCATTATGCGGTCACTATAATTAGAACACAATTCATCATAGTGCGTCGGTGGCACAGTGGTTAGGACTCTCGCCGACAATGCACATGGTCCGGGGTTCGAGCCCACGCCGACGCACACCTGATATCTATGGTCGGCCTGCGAATTTTGGGCTACCGATATCCACGCTGAAAATTCCATACTTGTACCAAAAATACAGTGTGGAATCAAGCTGTAATGAAAAAGAAAAAAATGGGAATCTACAATGAGTAGACCTATTTATTAGCTATGATGAACTTTTAATGAATGATAAAGGCTAGAGTAGGAACAAAACTGAAATGAAGAAATCCAAATGATTTTCCAACTGAAAAAACACTATCATCATTCCCCATATTAACCTATTTACTTTCTTTTATATATGCATAGGATTTTAGGTCACCGTTTATGCATATTATTACAAAAATTACTGATTGGCAGCTTCCATCCTATACCCAATCATGAGTTATTGATATTTGTACATGAAGGAATTCTGTGTTACTGTCTAGTAATTTGCATGTCGGTGGTTTATTGGTAGAATACTCGCTAATTATGCGTGAAGCGATCAGCAGTTCTGTCCCTCAACAATGAAATTGGCTGGCTTCAACATAGAACTTTGCACAGGAGTGCAGAAGTTCACATCAGTCATACTGCATACGCAACACAAAGGAAGACAAAATAGAGAAGAAAACAGAGATTCAAAAGATTGGGGATAAGCAGAAATATGGTGGAGGAAGAACAGTAACATGGAAACACAATAAGCTGTTAATGGATACGGGTGATCATAGAGGGTGAATGTGTCTGCGCCATTGAGAATGGTTTCGAGCCATATCACCAACAGTCTCCAGCCATTAGTCCTTCAAATCCACATGACCCCAACAGGGAAGCCGACACTATATTACGTCGCTCAAACTAGTTGTTAAGGTTCTCAGGAATTGACTCCAAGTTTTCGTTTGACCACCAAATGTGCGACACTTGTCCTTGCCAATGTCAGCCAATGTGGCTCAACGGTTTCATCGGTTAACCTTGTCCCCAGCCAACACTCTGTGACATCGCTTAGGCAGTATTAAGTCTAGTAAAGAGGAGAGGTTGGTTGTGAAGCTAGCAGCCCCACCCCGCAAACAAACGAATAACACCACTGCTACACTCTAAAACCAAAGCTCCAACTTGAAGCATCATTTTTTATTTGAGACTTAAAAGATTAAAATAAATGCACAACTACTATGCGTTCGTTAGCTTTTATGGAGTGGTAAATAAAAATCGAATCATTACTTAAAGAAAACTCATCCTGTGCTTATAAGGTCAAATTGACTAGGTAAAGTTTCCACATTCTTCTGAAGTAATAATTTCTGGTTAATGAATAAATTTTCAGAAGTTAACTGTTGAAGAGTAAATCAAATGATACTCTTGTAGTGCACCTTCCAGGGTTTAAGGTTTTGTTTTAAACCAATACAAATTCAGATACACGCGAATTCCATATTCCGCTACTTACTTGTTCTATTAAAACGTGGAGACTAGGAGTTCATAGTTCAATCACAGTGGCCAGATATATTTTAAAATCTTTTCTATAAATAAGCTGTACTTTTTATTCTATTCAAATTTACTAACTTGCGTCCAATGAACGTATCCAATACAGTCCTACAGGAGGTCAATCGCTAACCCGAAAAGCTTAGTGGTAAAGTCTCTGACTGCAGATAGCACTGGGTGACGCAGATTCGAATCTCAGAAAGGACATGAGTTCCTGCAGTGCTACAGATACGCCATGCTGACTAGTGAGTGGCAACTAGCACGAAACCTTGGGTCAAGCAGAGATTCCTGCCGACTGCATCCAATCATCTACTATAACCAAATCAGTGTGCACCGTGATGGCAAGCTACCTAGAATGCTGGCTACACTGCAAATCTGACTGGTAGAATTCAGTCAGCACCAAAGAAAAGACTAGATACATCACACTAGTTACTAGTGTCCAATCAAAGAAATGATTCTCACTTTAACGGAATTTACTTCAACACTTGATTTTAAATCATACGGCTAACGAATTTTGAAGAAAAATGGAAGCAGCATAATAAGTATTCACTTAGACTGTCATCTATACCTCTACTCTAAAATGCATGTACAGCATTTTATATGCAATATTAGAGATTCTACCAGTGTAGTGGTGATAATTTTGTTAACAATAATTAGTCAATATAAACATCTCGAGGTCAGGTGATAACTGACCAAGAAAGTTTATATGTACCAATTAAAGGGTAGAAATAGTTGGAAAAACAAAATCAAACAAGTGCATTGAGCAATGCATAATTTTCGAAAAATGAGTACTATGTGAGAGATAAAATAAAGCAGTCAGAATAATAAAACAATTAGGACTAATTTCCAGGAATTTGTTTGCTCACGGATAAATATCAATTAGACAACCATTGAAAATTAGCAAGGAGTACTGGACACATGTCTCATATCGGTTTGAGAGTCACCGGAGGTAAGCACGCACCACTACGGTTCCAACCCAGGACCTTCCGACTACCAGGCAAGTTTGTAGATCATTCAGCTACTGGGACCTGACTCAGTGGTCTATGAATTTCACCCTCTACCACTTCGTGATCTTAGCGTGATTGTAACCAATCATTTTCATTGGCGGCGAGTATTTGTCTTCACTGCCTACCGGTCTGCCCGCACTGGTCACGAATTCTCATTAACATTACAGATAGATTCGTCGTGGATGCAGTCACTAGCGAGCATCAGATGATACTGGCTGGTGGCTGCACTAAAATCATGATTTCGTAGAAGTTGGAATTCATGGACTGGCTGTTGAATCGGCTCCCAGTGGATGGACGGTCTACAAGGTTGCCCTGTTACTGGAAGAAACTAGGTTCGAACCTCAGTGGTGAGTGCGTGCTGCCAATGAGTCCCAAACTAGGGTGACGAAACAGCTCTCCATTACTTCCTGGCTTTCAATGGTTCACTAACTCCTATCAATCCGTGACCAAACTTGAAACAAAGATGAAGCCAACTTGTTAAAGACTAAGGGGGAGGGAGAAATCGTCAGTCTTTTACATTAATGTTACGACAATCGATGAAAGGAAGTGGCTGCACAAATTTCTTCTGGTCTGGCTTTTTCAAGTGGATTCCAATGTCTTCAGCTAAATGTTGAAGACGAGGTCATAACGCAAAATTATTATCAGTCCGAATGCGATAAGTAATTCTGAATGCTGTATTAACATCAGCTTTACGCTCACTATCTCCAGCGTATGTTAAAACAAACCTACGAATATGTCTTGTTTTCCCTTGCTTAACCAGACAGGATAATGTTAAGAAATACGATGACGAACCTGCCTAGTTGTTCGTTCAATATAACTAGCTCCAAAGGGCATTCAAACTGTTGGATACACATAGAGTAAACGAAATTACTTAGCTTATAGCTATTTCTCGAAAGTAAAATGAGAACAGATTATAGGACTATCGTATCACTCTGCTAATTTATTAATTCTCCGTTGCGTACAAAATAAAATTTATTCAAAATTTCAATAAATTCATACATTTGGAATAACTTACAAAATCTGGATTTTTCATTCTCACTTCCAATGGTTCCCATAAACATGGTTTTGAAAAGTGTAGATAATTTAAATTACCGGGTAGTGTAGCTGAGATTATCTTCGGATCATTAAATGTTGGCAAAATATTTAAATTATCTGTTGGCGGTTTTTTCGGTTTTTCAGTATTTGGATCAAATAAATCTAATAGTTGATCACCTAACTGTAATAATAATAATGATAATAACAATAATTATGAAATAAAAATGAAAAATAGTAATTGTAGGGTGATAAATAGTTAATGATAATTTTATTATCATGCACATTGTGCGTCAGTGGCACAGTGGTAGAATGCCCGCCAGCTGGTGGTTCGATCCCCGGCCGACGCACTCTCTTACCTCGCTAGGCCGGTAATATGTCTGATAAAGAGAGAAGGTTGAGCATGAGGCTAGCAACCGATCCCGTAAACATCAACACCACTGCTACTGAAACTTTAAGCCTCCAGGTTGAAGCCCTATGTTCAACTAAGAACGTAAAGGAATGAAGAAATTCGTACACATCAGATTGTAGTCCGCAAGTAAAAGTGTTTTGCCAATGTAGTAGATGTAATGTAGAATTAGTCACATGGTGTCAGTACGGGAAAGCTAATTTAAATACCTCTATTAAAGGATTAATTTTATTTAAAACAAATTTTATTTAGGCGCTCAGAATAATTTAAAATAACATCTGCATTACAAACAAATCAACGTTAAAATGAGGAAATGGAAATTCAATTGAGATAATTTGAAATAATAAGAGATTTAATACAAATTAGAACAATAATAGACATTAATTTTAGTAAAATGACACCTCTTTCTGTGTACCAGATCACTTTTACTGTTACACTTAACATGCTTTCTGTTCTTTTTTACGTCAAGTAAATTAACAAATCATATCATCCTAGTGAGTCCAAATGATGCTACGAATGCAGAACTACATCCAGAACAGAGTGGATTTAAGAAAATAAGTTACAATCTCATTAAAATGCAATACTACACATTACCATCAAACAGAGCATAGAATGCCAGTTAAATCTCTGCCTCATATCTATCAATTTTCAAAAGACCTTCAACAGAGATGTCCACGAAGTAATCTGGAAACTACATCAACTCTACGGAGTGAAATATCTCAAACCTTTATCAACTTCATTCAACAGTTAAGTGTCAGTGCCATACGTCAAGAGATTTTCACAACAGAAAACTCAATTATACCTCTGAAGTGATGATAGCAGTAAAACGAGGCTGCCTAGTATCACTGATGGTGAGGTTCTTGAATGTGGTTGACTGAATCATGCAGAAGACCATAGAATAAGAGAAGAAAGAAACACGTTGAACCGATTAAATTGCCATAAAAGTCAGAAGAAGAGGCAGACAGGAAGCGAAGACAGAACTTCAAGTGAAAAACAGAAAATCCAGGTATGATAAAGATGCCCGCCGTCCAGCGACAACATCAAGCACAGGAAATATTAGAGGAAGGTCACTTTCACTTATCTGGGCAGCGTAGATTCAACTGCAGATAGCACGACTAAGATTAGGAAATCAAAGCAGACATTCACTACTCCGAACTTAGTGTGGAAATCTATTGCATTCATTACGAAGAATAAGTTTCAGATTTGTGACACGAATGTTAAGTTAGTCATGGCTATTTTACGGTTCTGAGTGGTACTGTATCCTAGAAAGCATTTCAAAGAGGTTCCAGAATTCTATCAGCAGATGCCTTTGCTGGTTCCATGCTGAAGATCAGATGTCTGGCAAGAACAAATTAACCAACAGCCTTCCGCTTATAGAATACTCTGAAGAAGATACAGATGGACCTGACACGCACTGTGGAGACCGCTGAGTGACATGACGCCCAAGTTGTTGAGAAGATCGTGTGAGGAGGAGATGACGGCTTATAGCCAATCATAGAGCCAGCTAAGGAGAGTTTCAGAGATATGCTTTTGAAGTCATGTTTCTTACTCAGAACCCTAGAGAATAACAGTGTATTTTATCAACCGTAATTAGATTGTCACGAATTATTATGTCATTTCTAATTTTAAGGAGAAAAGCATAGGATCAAATGGACTGATATCGTGGTTTTTGAGTCGACTGTACGCGAAAAGATTAACTTTACATCAAATAGCATTAGTCTGGCAAATGAACTTGGCTGAATTGCGATTCTTTCACAATTTCAAATACTTGACAATTTGTCCTGGCAATTTCTTGTGAAACGTAGAATACACTTGTATTGAATCAACCATTATAACCTTATTTTGACTGACTCAATGACTGAGTTTCAGAATAGAACTCTATACAAGAGTGTAACAGTTCAAGTTATTATGACTATAAGTATGTTATTTACTCAGTTACCTAGTGGAATAAAGAGCCTCCGTAACATTACTCCCTTTCATCCTGTTCTCTAGAGTCCTCCTCAGCTGACAGCATGACTGTCCATATGCACTCATCCCTTCATTTCACTGTCTCCTCCATGTCACCCTCAGACCCATGCCCTAATCATCGTTTTATGTTCAGCTTCCACTCGACCGATGGCTTGATGCCTGATATCATTCAAAAGTCTCGTTAATCTACTTTCAGTCCCTCTCCACTTTCTTCGTCATATTTGTTTGGCAAAACTATTTTGGCTGACTATCTTCATCACGTCAGTCTTCTTATTATTTTTATTATTATTTTTTTATTATTTTTGATTACAGTTTTCCCCCTTTTTTCAAAGGAATTTTCAGGGGCCAATTGGCCCGGGGCCTGACTGTATGTTCACTCAAAATCATGTATTCACTGCCTGCCTCTTCCTCTGTTTACTTGGTTTTTAACTGTAAGTCTTCAGGTTTTTAGGACGTGAGACATAAATAATTTGCGAAGTGAAAATCTGCCACAGTCTTCTTATCAGTTCAGTGTAATCCTATTCTGATGCTAACTAGCGACTGGCCCTATTCAAGCAGTGAAATGAGGTTCTAGTGGGAAGTCGTGAACAGTAGGGTAGAGCAGGTTGAAGGTAAGGCAGTAACTCATCGAAGAAGACATTGCGAAATGGTCACACTATGTCGTGAATTAGCAGAAGTTGGAATACATCCACTGGCCATTGGATCGGGTACCAGTGGCGCAATGGTATACGAGGACACCTTATAACCAGAAGGTCCTCGGTTCGAACCTCGGTGAGTTCGTACTGATGAGGAGTCTCAAACTAGGACGAAACAGCTGTCCAGTACTCTCAGTTGGTTTCCCAGTGGTTCTCTAACTGATGTCAGCTCATAGTGAAATCCTCCATCTAATCCTATTCTCTCGCTCTTCACAGAAATGTAAAACAGAACGAATAAGCATATGAAAATTAAGTTTCAATCGATCTGGGAACGATTTCAAAGCATGTTATCAACAGTCTCCAGTCATCGGTTCTTAGCATCAGCATCCCTAGAATCCCTACTAGTCAGTTTACAAATCCCCACCTAGCCGAAACCATTTATCTAAGACTTCGCGCATTGTTGACATGTTTTTCTTTGACAACTGTAACCCTTTACCAACCCAACTTGTTATCAGCCAACACTGTTTAGTGAGGAAAACAATGGTTGGGCATTCATAGCACGTGTGCTAGCCATCTCAATCCATGCACCTTCACAAATAGATAGATTGGCTCATTTATTTTATTAGGTATACAATCTTCATTTCTCTCTGTCAATTATTTCCACTGTTAGGCACTACTAAATAGGTGTATATAACCTAAGACTAAATCAAAGGCAATACTGTAAAGTTTATATAAAAAGCTAATCAATATGAAGAGAGAGAGAAAGAGAAACTGATCAATACAAACCGATAAATCAATAAATAGAAAGAATTTAAAAAAAAGAAAACAAGCAAAGGAATAGTCAGTTTTGTGAGCCTATTTTAAAAAATCCGTCTATTGAGTATATTTAAATAAACCTGCGTTTAGTGAGACAATTACAAAAATTAACCACTACAAAAGGTCAAATGCAAAATAAAATATATTTCAACTTCTTATAAATAATTTTATAATAAGTGAATATAATTTACAAAATAGAAGAATAATTTATTTTAAAAAATGTGGGCATAAACTGTTTATCTGATTTATTTGTCCAAGATTATTTCTAATTCTGATTGGTTTATCACATTTTACTGAAAGGCTCAGTCTCTGTTGTTATATCACCAGCAAGCAAGGGCGCTTTTAATGGTGCCTCATGACTAATATGACGCTATTTGGTTGATGTTGTCGAGTAGTGAAAGCAAGAATGAACATTTCGGACTCATCAGTCGGGTGAACCTCCATTCACAATGAATTGTGATGATTAATACTCAATAGGCGATTCCTGTGGCATACTGACTTATTTAACAACCCGTTATCTCTCGTTTCGAACGCTGAGTTCTATTCCTAATGAGAAAACCGTCACTCAATGAGGATGTAGATTCATGAACCTAAGAAGTTGTAGATAAGATGAAATGTATTTCCTGGAATATGACACTAACTAATAGCCTCTGCCGTTAGAGCATGCGGGGCTTCGATGATTTTGGCAATTTATTTGGTGCCCGGTAGATGATGGAGAAAGTCTCTTCAATGTTAGCTTTGTGGTCGGTTTGGAGCAGGTGGTCTGACGTAGAACTGAAGAGTGTTTTGATTAGCGCTATCCGTAGGGGTACACATTTAAATGTGATTCTATGAGTTTTCTGAATTACTAGTTGGGACCAGAGATATCTACTGGTGAATTGTTATCAGAAAAATTTCATGGCCGGTATATGGATGATACTTTTATTCTCTGTGATAATGATTACGATAGCAATGAAATAATAAATCGATTCAATGAAGTACATTCTGCTATGAAATCCACGTGGGAAGTAGAATCCTAAAACAGAATAGACTTCATGGATGTCGTACTTACAAGAAAACTAGATGGTAACATGAAAAGAAATTTGCATAGAAGACGTACATGGACAGGACAATATACACATTTTCACAGCTTCGTTCCTCTCAAGTACATTAGAAATTTGGTGAAGACCCTCAGCCACAGAGTTAGAGCTATATGCTCAGAAGAAGTAAGTGAAGATGAATTAAGCATTGAATATGATACTTTGATTGAAAACAGCTACCTATCCCGATAAATTTATCAAGAAATACATAACAAAGAAAGCTGAAAAGGACTACTCACTATCTGTACACAAGAAGCCACTTTATATATATGACTAC